TCTGGGTCCCCCACTGCACCCCAGCCCAGGAGCCCTAAGTCCAAGAGTCTTTGGACATTTATAGCAACTCACTTCGTGGCAAAAAAGAAGAAACTCAGGCAGGCATTTACCTCATTTTCCCAGTTAAGGAGTGGGGTCTGGAGGCCCTGTGTCTTTGAAAGGGGCATCTATAACGTGTGGACCCGTCAACCTTTTTGGAGAACATTCACTCAGAGTGAACGTGCCTTAATTTAGGTTTTCAGAATCTGTCACCTAATAGGCTGAAGAGAAATATGACAGTAATGAAAAGTATAATAATATCTCATGCTTGAAACTATTCTTGGCGGTTCTATCAAAAGAACATTTTTCATCTGTCTATGGGATACATTCAGGAAGTCCAAGACGGGGGCATCTCCCGAAGTTGGTATAAGATGGGACTTGCCAGCAGGAGGCAAGGAAGCTGCACCAGGTAACAGGGAGGTCACCACATGCTTTTTCAGACAGTGTTTCACACCAGATGGCCCCGCTCACGGGCACGATCGTATCTGACAATGGAGATAGACCAATTTCTTTTTTCTTTTTTGCAGTGCTCAGGATCGAATCTAAGGCCTCCTGCATGCTAGACAGTGTTCTATCACTAAGCCACACCTCCACCCTAAGAGGGTCTGTGTTCTACTCAGAACCAAGGCTTTCTTGGCAAGGTCCAGTATCTTCCTGCCACGCTGAAGCAGCCCTGTAGGCTGCCCACTGGACTAGTGTCAGGGCAAGGAGGAAGGGAGAGGAACAGAGTGGCCTCCTGGGAACCCTAGGGCTCAAAGGGGCTCCAGCAGGAGAGGGCACTCCACCTGCCCCAATTTCCTCCTCTTAGCTAAAGAGCCCGGTGATGAATCAACTGTCACTCTCTTTGCACCCTTCCTCAGAGAAGTGGATTTCACCTTGTTTCACCCCATCTGACCCTGTACTTGACAATCAGCCCACACTGGAAATGTGACCTGTTCCTCCAGTCCCCCTCCATTTCCATGATACCTCTGTTCTTCCAGCTCAAAATTCACCTTCTATCCTTCCTTACTCAGTCCTCCCCGGCATCAACCAAGGACACAAAACCACTCTTGAGTCTAAACGTACTGAGAGGAGGGGACCAGGTTATCCTGGTCACATCAGATGTCCTTCTGGGCCTCAGGACACACCAGAAGGCTGAGGCAGCGGGGTCCCACAGTGCAGCCAAGAGAGATGAGGACAGAAAAGTGGTTGGGTAGGACTGAACTGGGAAGGGCTGCAGGGCCAGGTGAGAGAAGTCACCAGAAATTCCCATCACGGCATAGCCACGTGTGGTAATGCATGTGAGAAGCAGGGAAGGAGACTGAGGCAGCCAGGACGGTGAGGCCAGAGCCCTGGGGTGGTGGGTGACCAGGATCTAGTCTAAGCAGACTCTGTGGGAACAGAAAGGCCCGGACTGAGGGCAGGGAGACCTTACAGATAGGAACCGGTGACAGGCTTGACAGACGGTGGTTTTTTCAATAGCCTGAAAAGCATCTAGATTTTACTCATGCTGGAAATTCCCCAAGGGCAAATTTTTTCAAGTCATTTCAAAACTATTGATCCTAGTCAGACTGAGGTCCTGCCTGCCCTGCACCCACCTGCCACTGCCACTCCTACATCCACACCGTGGAGGACCCAGCCTCACCCACTCTGGGTGGAAAATAAGCTGTCCCCGTCCCAGGCCTCGGTCCCAGCAGAAAGGAAAGAACGGATGGATCCAGCTGTCTATGTGCACTGTTTCAGAGGCCAGGTCTGGGGTCCACCAACTGCAAGGAGGGAACCCTGAGAACCAGCTACTTCCTTCTCAGACCTACAGTCTCCACTGAACTCAAGGGACACGCCCAGCCATTCTGCAGCTTCAGCATCACACAGGTGCCCGATAAACAGGCAACATGGGTAGAATGCATGCGGTGGGCACTGCACCAAGTACAGCAGGAGGGGACTGCAGCATCCCAGCAATTAACAGGGAAGGCAGGAACTCCAGCTACCCAGAGGCCTCTGCTACATTACAAGCTTAATGGCCCATGATGCTTTGGGGGCCAGCATGCCCCTCTTGTTGAATTTCAACTTGGCTAGCTCTGCACTTCGCCTAAATGGATTGCCTCTGAGGAGGAAATGCTTTAAATGATAAGGCTCATTCAGGGGGATGTCCCTGCCCTGCACTGCAGTATTTCTGATCAACAGAAGGAAATTCTCTCTCAAGTATGCAGGCTCACAGAGATACCTTTGTTCCTGGTCCCATCTACATAGCCCTGCTTGGAACCAAGTCCTGGACAGTGGTCTTCCTCAAACTCTCTCGGACAAGAAGTTTTGTCTGGGAATAGCATGGAAACCTAGAGGTTGTGGGCTTGTGTGGGCACAATGCCCACAAGTGCAGAAGGGAGGGACAGGACTGGAATAGGGGAGGGCAGACACCCATCTCTACAAAATGGCTGTGACCT